TGATCATAACTAGGGATGTTCAATTCTTCAGATCGATTCCCTTGGGTGACACGTTACTACAATACAATGCAATATTGATCAAAAGTATGGGACCAGAGTTTATGATTGACGGAACAGTAACTCATGGTAAATATTTATAATAAGGTAGCCACCTTCGATTTCGATGATTTTTTTAATATGTTGTCAAGGTCATCACCCTAAATAGTATTGTGAAGGTTTCAGTTGGGTGTTGCTATCTGTAAAAAAAGTTATTATCAAAAGAAGTTTAGTATCGTACTTTAGTAGTATCGATCTTCCGAAGAATCGAATCGAAATCGAACATCCCCAATGCGTACCGTGTCGACGACTCCGATTGAATCTCAAAAAAAAAAAAAAAAATTCGCACGGGAATCATCGATTGACAGGACGAGTTCCCGGATGCCACGAGCCCCGCCCCCTTTCGACCGAATGTAAAGGGCCAGAGGAGGATTAATGATCGACGCGTATCGGTGGGCCCGATCAGCAGGAAACGCGGCGCGCACGCTCGAACGGAATTACTTCCGAGCGGAATCTTATTTAACGACGTGTGCCCCCGTGATAACAGTCCGATGCTAGGCGCCTTTACCAGTCTAACGACCGTCGGGATAATTAAGGTACCACGAGCAAGACGACCAGCTTAACGGTGATTTCCAGCGCATCCCAGCTAGGCCCGGCAATTAAGATAATCGGCGATCGCTCGCGCTACGGCTACGCGTCTCCTGGCCCTTCATCCTCTATCGATCGATGCTTGGAATTCTCTTGGAATATCACGGGCTTTGCCGAGTTTATTCGCTGGTAACCGAGTCTATTTTCCTTCCTCGATGCTTATAAATTATAGATCTTCGAGGGAGTACAGTTTAACTATGTTCGATTCCGATTCGATTTTTCGGAAGATCGATACAATCAATACTACTAAAACGTATATGTTATATATGGCAGTGATGTGTTACCTAAGGAAATTGACCTTCTGTCCGAATATCCCTAGTACGTATCGATCAATGCAGAAGAGAATCGGAGGAAATGTTTCCGAGGATCGAGAAGATCAGAGTGAGACGGGAAGATCCGTGTCAGTTCGAAAGTGAAAGGTTGCACGGTTTCGAGGAACAACTCAGAGGCTTTTTTATAAGGGATATACTTCTCTCTCTCTCTCTCCCTCTCGCATGGAATACGCAGCAGACCGTTCGAAAGAGATTCATGGCGGATAGGCGTGGCTGTTCCCGGAACGCGAATCGTTCTACGAAACTGTAAATCCCCCCTGCGCCCCTGTCCGTGAATAAACGCGAATTTACTACGACGATTTCGCCAAGACGGAACACGATAAAGAATAACGGATAACACTGTCGCCTAAATAAGGAACAGAGCGTTCTGTTCTGCCTGCGAGTAAGGTTGTTCACGGAATCGTTCTAACCAAAAATATTTAATCGGCCTCGATCAGCTAGGTGGATATCCTCGATCGGCTGAAATCACGATAAATTACCGTCAGATAAAATCAACTCTCTGTGTGTATGTATGCAATCGAGGGGAGGCAAGAGAAAAGAAGGAAGAAGAAGGTGAGTCTGGGAGGAAGGATCCTCCGCAGGGAAAAGAGGGGACGAAAACAAGAGGACGGAGAAATAAGGGAGCACCTGTCCAACAGCTGCCCCGCAGATGGTCTGCATAGTCGCTGGCGGGATTATGCAATGAGTAGGTGTCTCGAGTTTCTGAAATCGAATACGCTCGATTGTTTCGGTCACGATCGAGATCCATCCACGATTCTATCACGCCCTTCGAAAGTGATTAGGAGGCTCGTGTTAGACACAATACAATTTTTATTATTAATCGAACCTGTGGAATTTCGCGATTTTTACCTCATTGGATACCAGTGTAAGTGTACTATTCAGATCTGGTAAATGATCCAAGCTGTATGTGCTGTTACGAGGAACAAGATATCGATCATATGCCGTGGCAATGACCTTTATTCGACAAACAGAGAATGAAACCATTTGATGGACCGTGAACTCAAGGTTTTTTTTCTTCCATTATCGCGCTAAAAAATTAAATCTGGTCCATATGCAAATTTTTTTCATATAAATCGGTACCCAAGGGGTTAATAAATAAGCGTCTCAAGAAGTTTGTAATTAATGTAAAACGTTTCGCAGAATAATCTCCCCACGGAGATTAAAACTGCGTTAATAAGAAAAATAAAGTGTACTATTCGAGTGTCTAGATTCTAGATCTACGGGAGGGAGAATACTAGAAATGAACAGGGGTAACCGTAGTCTTCAACAGAAGGATAGTTTCCATCTGGAGCGAAAGGGTTTACTGCTAGTCCTAGGCTTACATCTAGTTATCCTTCTACATAAGGATGTCCTGGGGAGATTCTGAATCAAGTCTCTCTCGCCTCTCCTCGAAAATAAAGAAGCCTCGTAAAAGCGGCGGTCGTCCGTGCTGGCCGGAAACGTGTGATTTGAATTTACGAGCACGGAGTGTTCGCGCACTAGCCGTCGACTTACGCCCTTCTGATAACGAGCTGCCGGACAGAGGACCCATTGCTGGATGACTAATGGTCGGGGATTCTCGCGCCTGGCCAACGCAAACGAGAGACGAAGCGGAGAGATATCGCATTCCGCGAGTCGAGGAAGAGGTTCACGGGTAGCTTCGAAGCATTTTTCAAGGACATTCCAGATCCTCTCGTTTCTTTAGAGGATTCCCTTCGACCTCGCGACATTTGGTTTATGGAAATCTGTGAATTCTACAATCTACAATCAAAAATCTTTCCAGTAGACTTCGATTTTCGATTCGTTGGTTTCGTCTCGAGTCGAACTTTGGAAATTAATTCAGCAGGGGGACTGGAGACAATGGGAAGCCTCAGCCGCGGACACTAGCAAGGCGTGGCAAGCCAGAACAATGAGCGCGACGATTAAAACGACTGGAAAAAAAACTGCGAGTGTCCGTCGAACGACAGTCGGCCCACGCGCGAGCTTTGATCGGCCTTATCTCGGTCCTTCTTCGAAAAGCTGGCTGGAACTGTGGTTTATTAATGCCTCGTTTCCTTGGACAACCAATTGGGTGACAGATGTTCAAGGGAAATTGTTCGGGATTTCACTTTCATGAGCCACGATAGGAATTGTCGATTCTGATTCAACCCTTTGAAAGATCGATTCCTAATGGGAAGTGATTTGTATATGTATGCATCGGTTCTGTAACTATTTATTTCATCGTAACAAAATAATGATCGTTCAAGGGAATTGATCTTCTCAAGAATCGCTCATGCTTAGACCACGAGTAGTTCCTCAACCTCGACGAATCGACGCTTCCGGTGCGAGAGGAGGCGGGGATTCGTTAAATCCGACACGAGCTCGGAGACACTACAAACACAAACAGCGATTAACGAACGATCCTAAGTAAACCCAGTGTCAAGTGGCCGAATCGAGGAGGTCGCGCGCAAGAAATGATAAAAATAAGACCGACAGATGTACAGGCTGGAACGAATTTAATTAAACTTGAGTCGTTTGTGGTTGTCGTGGGCCACGTATGCTATTATTATTATTCACCGTCTCTTTGGTGAACCGACCAGTGTTTCAAATTCCAGTTTCCAAATGAAACGATGATCTGCGCAAGATATCTGTGCACAAAGTATTGCAGAAGAATTCTCTAAAATGTTCCCTCCCTCTCCGAGACCAAGGACAGACGCGCCAAACGAATCCAGTCGACTTTTTACATCGTAAGACCTCAGAGATATCGTGGTACACCAATTTGCCAGAGTCGCGGCAACATCAAAGAGGGTTCTCGATCATCTGACGCGAAGGAACGAACGCGATTAAGTTCGCGGGCTTAAAAGAGGATCAGAGAGCCTCGTGAAGAGTAGAGACTAGTTGGAGAAAAAAGAAAGGGCCACCGCCCATCGCCCTAAAAACGTAGACCGATCTAAAGTTAGAAACGAAAATAGGTCAGTTTCGAGGGAGTGGCCATTTTCGATCGATCCGCCTCGGTTCTTCCACGCGCTGGAAGGGTCGACGCGAATGGTCCTAATTAGAAGCATGAGTCATTTCTGTGATCGGATCCCAAAGGGTTCTCTCTACTGGACCCACGATAATTGCCAGCGTAAGAAACTGCGTAGCCACTCTCGATCGTATCTCTCTGATGAGGAGGGATCGCAGGTGTCAAGAGGCTGACGGGAGCAGAGTAAACACTACCGTCAAACTGAAACGAAACAAGAGGCTGAACCGGAGCAGAGAGCTTTTCGAGAATCGAAAATACATGTGCTTTAACGAGCGACCGGAAGAAAGGGGTCGCTTTGTTAGCTCGCGTTTACGATTCCCACGAAATCGAAAGGGGGGGGGGAGAGAGAAAAAAAAATCGAAACCGGTAACGCGAGAGGTATGCGGGGCTTACGACTTCGGTTTTAATGTTCGTTCGCGGGAAAGGGGGCGAACATACGTAACGCGTTTCCCCGAAACGCGTGAGTCGCCGTTTATTCCCGACCAATCGGCCGAAACACTGTAGCCCAGCTTGATCAGCGAATCGTTGACCCTTGTGAACCGAATCACAAATGTCGTCCACTTGATTCTATTTCCCTGTGAATGTCTGAACCTGAATGTAATATTAATATGAACCCTAGATGACTAAACTATCGTAAAAGTTATGACGTCGAATTCGCGATTTTTAGAAATCGAAGCACGTTGTCAATATCGCCAACGTGTGTCGAATTTGTGCTGAATAATTACCGTCTCGATTTTTCATTATTTTTAAGTCTGACTATCATAAATATAACATAGGTTCCTACCTCAATATAAATAATATTCTTTTTAAATAACACGTGTTTAGTAGTGATTTTTACGAATGATTAGTAATAACGTATGTCACAGGATAGTTTAGTGATTTAGGGTTAAATGAAGATTCTTTAATTGTTAACGTGTTAAAGGGATTCACGATTGCTCGAAATTGTTTCAGGGGACTCTGAGCACAAAGGATGGCATAGACATCCACACTCGATCGGCAGCATGTGCTATGTGATAGTCACTGGTCGTAGTCTGCTATGGACGCTGCTGTCCCTAGTGGCGCTAATGGCGGTATTATCGGGCCTCATCACTCCCAAATGGCTCGTTGGTCCGCGGACGATTAAAGATACAAGTAACTGTTTTCTCTTACTTAATCCTCGCGCGTGATAACGTCGCCTGAAACGACAGACGGTCATTAGTAACTTCTTCGAAGACAAAAACGTCTCTCGATTGTAACTTACACGTCACCAAATTGAAGTTAATGTGTTTCCAACTGTCGGACGAAGTCGATCGTTGATCCCACACCTAAAACAGAGAACTATGTTAGACGAATAATATACTTTTCTTGGATCTTCTTTGATGCCAGAGAACGGGTCGGAGTTGCACGTCCCGACAGTCGGTATCTTCAATCGTTGCATCAGGCTGCACGGTAAGACACACTGCGCGAATTTCAACGTGGACGGCTTCGCCACGGATTCTAGCGTATTTCCAGGCTGTTGGAAAGCTTCCTACTTCTTCCTGTCTCTTGGACTGGCTATCATGGCGATCACGGTGCTCGCTGCTTTGGTTGGGTGTTGTATACAGAGCATTGGTCGAAAGAGTATCTTCAACTTGGCCGGAGTGGCTCAGGTTATCGCAGGTACAGTAAATCACCGATGAGTGCTCGAAGATTCTTCGACACTCACTGTTCAGACGTCATCTGCATCACTGAATGCTTGACTGGTTCCACGAGGACCCCCCACCACTGAGCGCTTAATCTAGTGGTGGGGATGACGTCTGAACAATGAGTGTCGAGGAATCTTCGAATACTCCTTGATGATTTACTGTAATTTTTTTCGGCCTTTGAATTTCTTTTCTGTGTGTCGACGTGTCTTGTAAATATAGTTTCCTTTTATTGACAAAGGAATATCGTATCTATTGGGGATGATCCTGTATCCCGCTGGCTGGGGGGCGGAGAGGGTTCAGAGGATTTGTGGTGCAGAGGCGGACGCTTTCTACCTCGCTGATTGCACCCTTGGTAAGCAGGCTCCCATTATTCACTGTATTCTCGAAGAAAAAAATCGAGCAGAATGAACTACAACGGCCAGGTAACCCTTATAGCGAGCACAAAAGACTTATATACATATTTTCAGGTTGGGCATTCTACAGCGCCGTGATAGGGGTGAGTCTGACCTTCGTCTGCGCGGTGATCAGCGGCCAGGCGGAAAAGTCGACGGCCAGCGACAAGGTGCAGGACAAAATGAACGAGGGCAAGACTTTGATCTGTCTTGCGTGAAAGGGAGATATATTTGTACTTCATTGCTGCTTTTGAAACGTCCCTCCGTTCGCGGTGAACGAAACGAATCGTGTAGCTCGAGAAGCTGAAATTTCCTTTATCCTATAGTCGGCCGAGACGAGGGGAAATTCGTCGTGGGACCAAGTTCGAGCTCGCTGTGCGTGTGGCAAGAAGTCGATGACCCCTCGTCACGAGGTCGTCGAACCCCAGTTCGATCGAGTACTTATCGCGAGAGCGACTGCTCTTCTGTGCCAATTTTCAAGGAAAACAAGAGATTTAACGTTTAACAAGAGTACAGCCCGAGACCTTGCAAACGATGATTTTTATAACTCTGTCTGACAAAGAGATATATGTACATGGACATTCGTAGGAAATAAAGTGCGACAATAGAAAAAGGTTTCTCCCTTTTCTCATTTCTTTCCCTCGTTCATCGATTTTTCTTCAGTTTTTTTTTTTATTAATTTCATTGAGAACAAGTGTATGGACAGCTTACTAGTACCTAATAAATAAATAATCGTAACTGTTTAACCGCGTAAAAAAAGTGTTTACGGGAACGTTCGACCGATCGGGAGGCGGTTGATTCGCGTCGAATCGTTCCCGAACGATAAGTAAAAAAAGAATTTCTCCGTATTCCCGTCGTTTAAGAGCTTTTGTCGTTGAACAGAAACGAACGATTCCGGTATCGCGTGTTTCTCTGAACGGGGGTGCAGGAGCAGGAAACCGAGGAGAGAACGGCGAAAGGAATAGTGATCGTGTGGGTCATGGCGATTACATCCTCGTGTACTTTGGATCGATCTGTTGGAAAGGTTCGTCGGCGCGCCTGGGCACTACGAAAGAAAAGCGGCGGGGAACTGATCTGAATATAAATTACTACGTGGATCGAGGCGAGGCCCTGGATACGAAATATACAAGTGAAATACACTCAGGCGAAACAGAGTGCGAAGAGGGAACGAAACAAGTAATACCGAATCGTGGGGACATGGAGCCGTGGCTGGTGGCCAATGTACAAATAACGTATCGATTTCTGTAAATTACACAGATCGCTTGCCTGCAGTCGCTCGCTTCTCCAGCCGCTCATTATTCTCTCACGCTTACATGTATGTACAGTCGCTCGCGGCACGCGTTTCGATGCGTCACAGAAACAGAAGCAAACAATCGCTGGTCCGCTCAAGAATATTACAGAAACTGTCGACCGAGCGCGAACAAGTCTTTCACAGCATTCTTTCGTCGTAATCAGAGACGAGCGGATACGTTCATTGAGACAGTCAAAATTCAAGTAAAAGAAAAAACACTCACATTCCGATCGTTAATTCCTCGGATAAAACTTATAACAATAAGATACTTCGCTTAGTGTGAATAAATAATTGTATAAAAATTGTACCCATCTCTGATCACAAGTTGCTCGCAGATGGAGGCAACGCGGCGCGATGAGAGAGCACTGTACGCTTAATCGCCATCGAATATTTAGGCGGAACGGATAAACGAGAAGAAAACAGAGTATTCCTTGCTCTCAAACTAATCAACCAGGCCGTGGAGGGAACGCCCATGAAGCTTTCGTTCTCATTTATCGACGTTGAATCTCGTTTTCGATCGAAGACGGCGCATCGGATCGCGTCGGCCGTCGTCAGTCGATTTATGTACACGCGTATAAATTAATCAAGGCACCGAGGGAATCAACAGTCAATAAATAACGCGGCCCGCCGGAATACGACGCGACGCCTTTCGAGAGAGCTCTCTGTAACGCGCGCGCACGGAACCGAAATCTCACATGGTCGGCAGACGAGAGTCTCATCAGGAGGCTTGTCAACCACCGTGTCTACTAATTTCGCTGGCGCGTGTTATTTGGTTGGACGAGCTCTAACCTACGTCTGCTGATACATCGACTACACCTATTCTTTAAACTTAACTGGGGGAGGGACACAACTAAACTATATTAGGGCTACTTCTCGAGACGGTCTCTATACGGGAATGTCGACTTAATAAAACGATTTTAGAACACACGAAAGCTTTTGCCTCTTATTACTACAGTAAATCATCGATGAGTACTCTGACGTCATCTCCACCACTGGGAATGTCCCCCGTGAAACCAGTAAAACTCCCAGTGGAGGGGATGACGTCTGAACACTCAGTTCTGAAGAGCCTTCGAACACTCATTGATAATTTATTGTATTCCACGAAATCGATTCACGGTTACTATTTTCGGGTCCCGGGAAGAAGGAAGAGGTTCAAACGGGTAATATTAGGCGACGTGGCTGATTAAAGTAATAGGAATCATTCCGTTCCGATCTCGATCGACATGTTGCAAAACGGAATCGTTAGGCGAGCACTATCGCTGACGTATTAATGTAGGCTACAAGGGGTCTTTGGATCCTCGATCCAGACTAAAATTCACGATCGAACTACTCCTCCGTCCCTGGCGTTCACCAGAGAACGTCGATAGTTTCCTACGCGATCCGAACATTCGAACAGCGTACGCTTCTAGTCCTTTATGAAAATTCCTACGGACAAGAGCAGTTTACGTGCTGTTTCGTTACCCATGATCTTCGATAGCTTAACTTCTCCTACGCAAACTCAACGGCGAACGCTTTCCGCGCGAAGGAAACCACAAAATGACACAGAATAAGGTATTTTTCTTTTCGACGAGTCATCATGCCGTTCCGCGAACCGAACATTAAATATCGTACAAAATCTGAACGACAGAGCGTAATAATCTGATATAAAACGTAACAAGATTAGCACGATACATCACAGCGTGTAGAATCCGAGGGGAGGGGAACGAAGATGTGTATGTGTATAGAGACGTAATAAAAATACGAACTGTATCGAAGTGTCGACTTGTTCGAACACAGTGAAGTCGTACTCTAAAAATCTGTGACACCACTCGAGAAACTATTCTACCAATCATATACTACACCGCACTGTGGTGTGTCCCGTAAGTAGGCAAGTTAACGCTCGACACTAACGATACGAAGCGCGTTTGATTGTAGTCGAAGCATATCCGGTAAATTATTTGTAACGCTGACGCGTAAGTTTCGTAGCTTCCATGCGACGACGAAACTTCGAGAACCATGAAGTGAATGCGTTGTTCCTTAACACCGATCGCTCTGGTGGTTCTCCAACATCGTCGCCGGCATGACGACGAAGATGGCTTCGATAAAGCACGATATTATCACGCGTCAGCCTCCTCTCTGGATCCCAAGCGTTTCGAGAAAATGCATAGAAAATACCGCGCGCGTTTCGATCCGACTCGAGGGCGGAACGCTACCGCCGATCGGCCATCGGCTGTCTTTTTTATCGTTACGTGTCCGGGACAAAGATCTTCACGGTGTTCTCGGAATTCTGCGCATTCGAGCGCATCGCCCGTCTTCGTTCCTCGATCAACTGCCTACGAGCCTGTTCTCTCGCCTCTCTTGCTTTCTTGTTCGCCTCGCTGTTCGCCGTGGATTTTGGTTTATGGATCGACGCCACGCGACGCTTCGTCGCGTTGCCGTTCTGGGGAGCGATGCCGGCTGGTTTCTTCTCTGGCACGGTCTAAAAAAAAGGGTTCAGTGGTTGTCCCATATATTAGTGACCTAGAGCGAAGTCGGGTTAATTACTGAAGGACTGAAGAGGAGTGATCGGTAACCCTTTTCGTGGAAAACTATTCGAGTATGAGGTCGTGATTAGAAAATGTTATTAGTAGAGGAAAGAAAAGAGCGAACAGTCACTCTGGAAGATTACATATGTTCATAAATGTAGTTGACAGGAAAACGTACTTAGGAAAAGATGATCCTCCTGGAACGTCACGTACTCGATGGTCTCGCGTTCTTCGTGAAGCAAATTCACTCTCTTTAAACGCACACAGGAATGAAAAGGAACAGGAGGGTGTATAGACTGAGGACAATTTTATTCCACGAATGCAAGGTACATCAAATTGATTAAAAGGGTGTAATGATTATACGAAGAACCTTGGGTCCAGAAAGGGATCGTAGCACGAGCCTATTTTCAGGAGAATTAGAACGAGACTCAAGAGACCGTACGCGTACAAATACAATGACAATCTACAGAGGGTGCGATTCGACTTCAGAAACGCTAGGGTGTGTCGCAGTTTCACGGAGAAACTGGTGGCGTTCGGAAGATTCGAGTGAATGTCGAAATTATTACAAAACAGCTGGGTGGACTTCAAGTTCTGCAGACAACGGGACACTCTGAATTCTCGTTTCAGGGGCAGATACTCGTCGAGATCGAAGGATCCGATATTCTTACAGGTCGGTCGACTCTCCAGGGGACGAACCGTGAAGTCCGAATGCACGTGATGTGAAATATCGAGAACAACGCTCGCGCTCAGGTTTGATGAATCGAATTTCTTTGTGATCAATCCGTAGCTAAGCTTCTTGATGCTCAGACGACTTTGTAGTCCCGAGTTGCTCTTTTCGGGCGCTTGGAATATGATCGTGGGATCGACGGATTTGAAGGACAGCAGGGCAGAGATAAATGCTTCTATCTTCGGGTCCCTGTTAGACCACTGAGTAATGTTATTCGCGATGTTATTCATAACGATACCCGTTTCTTCGTTTGCGTTTACCACACACGGCACGACCGAGGTCTGGACAGAGAGGTCCTGTTGATCCTTCACAAAACTAGAAATCTCGTGGATCGCCACTGTGTCGCATAAGCTCGACGAAACGACATCTTGAGCGTCTAATTGAAGCATCTGCTTGGGGACACTTTCCTCCGAAATAGGGGCTCTGGTCCCACAAGAAACTACTTTTTTAGGAGGTTCATCCTCGTGGTCCCTGGTTATCCTTTTCCTCCTTTTATCGTACACCTTCATCCGTTCCAGTTTCTCCGATTTAGTAACGGTCGAAGATGGGGTCTCGTGACTCTCGCCATTGTACACTTGCCTCAGCTGTCGAAGAGTCTCGTGATTCAGAGGGATGAAAGGTTTCGAGTCACTGAGTCTCCAGACAATGCTATCACAAGATTCACGATCTTCTGTCTTCTGTTTGAACTTCTTCGGTGAATCCTTTGATAGATCCTTTGGTGGATCCTTTGGTTGATCCTCTTTCCTCTTGGTCCAGGTACTAATGAAGCTATTATACTCCTTCGACGAACTGGATCTCCAGTAAGGTATGAACTTCTTCTTCAGGGAATCCACGTTCGACCAAACTTCACTCACGATGGATAAACTACGCGCACGAGTGTCATTTTCTTTCGTCTTTACGGCATTTTTGTTACGACTGCTTTTGTGAGTCTGAGCCTTCGTCCGTTTAGCAGATGACGGTTTCTCGATTGATATTCGAGTCAATGGAGATGCTTTTCGTGGTGAATTTCCGTGCAACGCAGATTTCTGTTTTACGGACGATTTAATCGTTCTTTCAGATTTAACGTCCTTCGGTAAATCTGTTTTGTCTGATTTCATCGATCCTTTCGTGTCGACCGAAAACGTAACACTGTGGCCAACTTTTCTGACATACGGTTTTATATTAACATCGGTTCGAGCAACTGGTCGCGTCGGGGAACGAAATTTATCAGACAGTTTGACGGGTTTTACTTGAAGAATAGTCTTGTCTTCATTCTTTTTCCGATAGAAATCCATATTCAGACCGCAAGTTTTATGCTTATCGTTGGAATTCGATTTCACTGGATCGCATTTTGGAGATTTGGTCAAAGGAGTACGCGACCTAGTCCTTCTATGATCTTTTATTACCATTTCGCGATTTACAGTTCTTCCAATGGGACTGGAGGATTTTGCCTTCGATCGAGCATTCTCCCTTTTTCTTTCAACTGGTAAATCTTTAGTATAGGATGCCAAATCCTTTAAAATATGATTTGGAACATCGGTTTTTGTTTTCCGTGGTGTTCTGTCGAGGGAGTCGATAACCATTTTCTTTGTCGGGTCAATTTTATTAACGCCTTTTTTAAATAATACCTCACACTTCGACGAATCTTTACCCGTATACTGGCCAGAAATATCTTCGTTGAAAAAATCACCACGCGGCAGAAGGCTGTACGATCTACCGTTGAGATCACTGAAAGGAAACGGTCGCATGTTGTGGTGCAACACGTCCACGTAGTTGACAATATACGGACTGAATGGATCAACGTTAAGTGTATTTCTTTCCGTCAATTCCGTTTCAACATTGTTCTCAAAAAGACACCCGTGGCCGTCCTTACAGTCCACTTCACGATACTTAACATCGAATTTCCTAGAATATTTGAAGTTCCGCGGTTTGGTCAATACTTCAATCGTATCGTTGCACGGCTGCTTGTCGACTGGACATTTCTCGAACGCGTCGAATGAGTTTTTTGTTCCACGAGTCGATTTTTCCGGTATGTCACACCTTGCATCGTCGAATCGGACATGTTTATCGCGAATTAAACACGACAGGGGCGAATAGTGAAGTTTACTAGTCCTGGCTTTATCAGGATTCCTTGTCGAATACGATTTTCGTTTGGAATGATTTGGAAGGATATCAGTCGTGGATGTCGGGTCAGGATTATCAGAAACTGAACGTACCTCTTGCCACTGGGAATTTCGTAGCTTTTCAATCTGATCGAAAAGCTCATTTACTTGAACCACCTGCAGCATGACCATGTCCCAGAAGCCGGCCAGATCCTCGTTCGTCGTTGGGAATTCTTCACCGGGCACCTGGTTCTGTAACAAACAAGTACACACACGGAAATGGTTACATTCCAATGCAACGATTCGTCGAACATTTTATAAAATTTTATAAAAGAAAAACATGAATAAATAATCTATTTTTTAAATGCAATGGCGATACAATTGATTGATTGTTCGAACTGTAAAAGGAAAGTAAACTTACAATATTCTTCTGGCAGAGTCCCTCGAACTGTTGCATCTTCTGCGAAGCGAGCAGCCTGGCCTTGCCGGCAGCTGAGCGCAGCTTACCAGCTGCCTCTTCCGGAAGTGCAACAGTATCGCCGCTGGCCAGCTCCGCTTCCGCTGATGCAGCAAGCAAGAGAAGCCTGTTTGTCTCTTGTTTCAGCAACTGAAACCGTATTCACAAGCGTGTGTCACTCGATTAATCCCATAGTTCAGCGATTTCTGGTCACTTTTTTGTGAAACGTACCTTCAGGAAATAATGTCCATCCTTCTCTTCGGCCTTCTCAGCTTCTTGAGCCTGTTTCGCCACGTTCGTCGAGCTGGCGCTGGGCTCCAGAACAGGCAGGACCACCTTCGGTGCAGCCGGCTGCTGGTCAGGGATGCTGGCCACGCTGGAATTTAACTTCGGAGTGTTGTTCTCCACAATACTACCGTCCAACTTCGAAGGCGTCTGCGATTTTGGTTTCTGCTCCGCCTTCCTCGACACCGGTGTTACCCTAACGATCGAGAACATCACGATTTCTATCAATCTTCCTTCAAGGTTTCCTAGGAACACCGAATGCTTAAGTTTCTTCAATGATTTACCTTTGTAAAGGTTTCAAAATTTGCTCCGAGCCATCGGTAGGTCTCCTAGGGCTGACCACAGGAAGCTGAGCACGGAATTCCGGTCTCAAGTGTCTCAGTACAGGAAGATTCTTCAAGGACTCCTCCGTGTTCGCGTTGTCGGTCGACACGTCATTATTGTTGCTCGACTTATTGAAACTGCTGTCGCTGGCGTTCAATCTACTAGCGCTACGTTTGAAGAAAAAGCCCTGGGCGAGGGCTCCGGGGCCGTAGAGCCGTTCCACTCGTTGCTGAATGAAAGATTTCTCGCTGCTCGAGGACGTATTTAATATCTGGCTGTCCATGTCCACCGAGGATCCGTTCAGTATACTCGTGTCGCTGAACGAACTGTTCGAGTCTGTGAACAACCAATGGAAGAACTGCACTCATGCCTCCAGGAAGTCGAAGGGATTGTTAAAGGGAATCCAGTCACACTTACGATTCGCGGTAGCTTGTTTAGGAGACGACCCCGAGAAATGGGACGAGAACGATTTATTCTGCTGACCGCAAGACATCATCTGCTGCACCTCGGGGCTACGTTTCGTGGGGTTGTTGGACCGAATCGGGCTAATATCTGGGAATGTCGGATGCAAGACACCCTTGTCGACCTCCGAGTAACCCTGGCATATGCTGATGGAGCTTCTGGAGTCTCTGTATGCCTCCACTTTGCATTCCTCCTTCAGACCGTTCGAGAAACCGTTTTGCCTATCCATCGCTAGGGGTGAAATCGACTGACTCTTCGGCGGATATGGGTGCGCTGGCACGTCGAGATTGTCGTTTGATCTGGAAGGTTCGTGCCACAAAACTTTAACCTTTAACTTTCACCTTTCTCGATAGTTTGTTCGTGGGCTCTTAAGAGAACCATTCAGAAATTTGGGGTATTTTATAACGTAGCAGATAGTATGTCTAGTGCTTCGTACCTCTAATATTACCAATCCCTGACTCGCAATGGTAAGTAAATAATCATATCAGCCATGAAAGGTAAAGACGATTTTTACCTGAAACCCGCCGGACTGCCGTCCCTCGTGATAAGCCTAGTCCCAGGACTGCTGTCCCTCGATCGAAACCCTTCCCTCAGCTTGCTGTCGTACCGATTGATCCCTGAATAACCGCTGATGCTGCAGGCCAGGCCCAAATAGCTCGGTTTCTTCACTGTCAGCTGTTCTGGCTCGGGACTGCCTCGATGACCATTGCTGACGTTCAATTTTTCATCGGGCGTCAGGTGGGACTTCTGCAGCGTCTCGCTGCTGCCGTTTGCCAGGTTATCGGGCGTAGAGACCGAGTTACCGTTGCAGGACAAGTTCAGACTGTGTAGAGTCTTCTTGGACAAGGAGTCGACGGTGTTCTCTGGAATGTAAAATCCTCGGTTGGCCTTAGGTAGTTTCGTTCCAACGCTGACATCTATTCCTTATCCTGCGTCCCTCTATAAAAACCTTCTGATTCGAGGTCCCTAAATGCACAAATTCGTAGAGAAAGCTATATAGCACGCAATGACCACTGCAACCTTTGTGCACACTCAGCCGCACTCACTTTTCCGATTTTTCAATGACAAACCTTGTTGGCCGCGTGACCCGATTCTGCGAGTAAAATGATTCCCTTCGCCAAAAATCCCATGAATTGTCGGATAGAATAATAAGTCGACGGTGGAAGCGTTCACGACGATATATCGAAAGGCGTTTGATAGCGAGAGGACACGGGCAGAAACGATCGAAACGTGCCCGCTCGAAACGCGACACAGGAATAACCCTGGAATGGCAAGAGGCCGGTCGAAGTCGCGGCGCGAAAGAGACAAACGCCCGTCTACATCTCCTCGTCTTCTTGGCACTGGCGATAGAAAAGAAGCTCCACTCTGCCCTGTACTTGCTGCGCTTGGCTTGCGCGATCTAAATCCGATCGGTACTACACCGTGGTGCCGAGCAAAAAGCGAACGATCCACGCACAGAACGGCGGAGGGATCGGTGACCTTGCACGTTCCAAGATCGGGTTTGGTGAACGCGGTCTTTGTCGGGTCAAGTGCAAGGTCATCCAACGAAAGCCACAGAAATTGACTAAATTTAACTTCTTTGCTGCTCACCTACCGCTGTATGTTAACCTTCGATACTTAAACGCAGTCTACAGGGTGTCCCCACGAAATTTCAAGACTTGCCCTGCACTTAACAAAAAATTGAATGAAACAAAAGTTGAACTATATTTAAGTTGTAGTTCAAGTTTTCTTTAACACAATTTTTCTTTAAGTTCAAGGGAAGTCCTGAAATTCCGTGGCGTCACTTACATAGGGGACAGTGTACATTAAATTATCGATAAGTATTCAAAGGATTCTCGGCACTGAGTGTTCAGGCATCATTCCCACCACTAAGATGATCTCCTGTGGAACTGGTCAAGCTTCCAGTGATGACGTCTGCACACCTCAGTGTCTCGGAGCCTTTGAATACTCATCGATGATTCACTGTATTTCAATCCTAAAGTTACTTCTTCGTCACGACGTCAAGGATTCTCGAGATACCAATATTTTCTGATTCCGTATCTAGAATAATTCTGAGACCCTGGAAAACGCTAGACATCGAGAGAGATATGCCAACCTGATCGGTCGGACGCGGATTGGTCGGCGTCCAAACTGCAGCTGCCGATGCTCTCCTGGCTAGTCATGTTAGGGCGATGGCTGGTGACGAAGTCGCCGGTGATCTTTGGGTCCGGATCGAGGCGACGGTAATTAAGCGGTTGCACCGCGAGCGATAACGGCCTCGTCCGACGATTCGACCTGATGCCGCCGGCGCCTGGGACCGACGGCGTCAGCGTCGCGGCGCAGGAGTCGGCGACGTCCTCCAAGCCCGCTACCTCGCCGCCACCGCGCGTTTGCCCGCTGACGCGTCGACGATCCTCCTCCCCGCGGTCCTCGTGTACACTGTTGATTTTCGTTTCGTTTTTTTTTTTTTTTTCGAATCACGGAACAAGAGCGTGCACCCATCCCCCGCGAATTTAATTTTACGATTGGATCGGTGCCGGGATAAATTCGCGAGTCTCTCAGCACACAGCGCGAGCTTCCATGTTTTTCTTCTTCTTAACCCTTTATTCCCGAATTATGTAAAAATTACAAAAGAAATATTTTCGTGTATATATGATTCACAAGAACATTTTAACATTTTAAAACAGTCTAATGTCACCTTTCATTCGTTGTCATTTAACAACTGTTTTACTTTTATCACAGTTATATGTGACAATGCCCATTATAATGTTATTATGCATAACGAAACCCAATTTCTCTTACCTTTGATCAATAAACCTCTTTGGAATATTTGAAGGAAATTAGAATTTTGTAAGTTTCTATTTGTAGCAATGCTCAAGTTCCATCGAATGAAAGAGACAAAGAGAAGAAATTGTTACACACTCACAGGTTAATATTTTATTTCGTGATTTGGAATACGTAGCCACGTGGCAATAGTGGGAATGAAAGGGTTAACAAGTCTACTTTTCACAGGGCGTTCTTCGACGTGCCTGCGAATAGCGATGGAAACGAAACCGTTCGAGTGGTTTCAACGAAAACGTTTAAGTTCTCCAATGACCGTAACGTTGCATTGCTATTCGCAATCGACTTCTAATTGTTCCACCGATTACTTCGAAACAATTGCAGTATTTGCGTGGCGATCGTGGGAGCGATTCGCGCGCAAGGGGTTCAAGTCGGCTGCGCGCAATCACAAGGCAGTGCGCGCAAAGCTGGTGCATCGCGGTCCAGTGCAGCTCACTCTCTCAAGGATAATCGCATGCATATTAGGGGGAGACGTGAGGTGATTCGTGCGCAGAGAAAAAACGGAGTTTCTCGTCGAATAGATCGATCATTCCTGACACGTGTTAATTTCTTCACACCACAATCGGACAATATACAATTTTCACGAAGGACATTGTTGTGTAAAGCAGTCCGTCTACTCGGAAAATAATTTAGATCCTTATCAAGCATCACGAGCACACGGACAGCTCAAGTTTGTTACACTGACTGTGGATTTTATGCATTTATAGCCTGTAGGACTCTGAAATACAACAAAATACAGAACTTTCGACACCAATAAAATATTTAATCTATTGACGGTATATCCCGAGTGAGACTAAGGCACGGCGCATTTATCATACACTAATTAATTTTACTGTAGTAAAAAAAAATATTATAGTTAATAGATTAAGAAAAACAATGAAATTCGTGCATTTGTTCTGTCTGTCCGAATTACTTTATATTTCATTTTGCATCAAAATCCGCAGTCTATTGATTATCTTACAGTTTCCAATTCTATCATTCGAATTAGACTGGTTAGTTACACACTCCATATCGTACACGTTTCAGACGAGTAGGTTTTGCCTATTAATTTGGACACTTTTAAACTCTTGCGAGGATTCAGGCATCTATTCTCTGAGATGCAAGGTGGAGATCCGATGCAGGTTCATCGGGTTTTTGCGGGGGTTTACGGGTTAAAAGTGGGGCGCTGCGTGTGACGTGCAACGAAGCGGTGGTATGAGAACACTGTGCAAGGTGATCGAATCATGCTTGATCGTGAACGGAGCGACGATGATGAACGTGAACGCACACGCGTGGGAATGAATGACACGAGAGATACCTCTGGAAAATGTCAAGCGATTATTCTCTGCGTGTTTGCGATTCTGATACGGTAGATATCGACACTGTGACGTTATCGTCGCGTCATTGAACGGCAATTAAACGACACTGGCCGCGAATCGACTATGGGAACGCTGGAAAACGACACGAGAAAAAGAGATATCGCGCGGGCTATTGAAACTGTTCGTGGATAAATAAAATGGCCCGTTGGATTCGCGAGAATTTGGACTTTAAATTAAGTTGCTGAAGAAGGTTTCATGGTAAATTAATTACAGCGGCGATGAAAGACTGGATTCGTATCATAAAACTGGAAATTTCACGCTCGAGACGGCGGCGAAGGGGACTCCCGATAGGATCGGTGAAAGAAGCCAAGAAGGACAAGAGATACATCATCGAGTCACCGTGTTACACAGGTAAAAATGTCTGTTGTACCTCCTACGCCAGTGTTTCCAAAGCAGAAACTTCGAGATATTCTTTTTGGCAGTGGGGTTCACCGTGTAGGTGCCACTTTCGATCTTCAAAGGCATCCTTGGAACACGCTTCTAGTCCCAGTTAAAATGAACATCGACTGCCGGGTCGTTTCAACTCGAGAATATTACGCCCGAGGATGATACTTGAGAGCCGGATTACTCGCGTTTCTATCGATTCCAGTCGCTATCGGTCCTCGATCCTCGTGAAATCGCCCATCAATCGCCCAACGGTTCTTTTTACAGTCGAAGACCGAGCAAAAACTTCGCGTGACGCTCTGATAATCACTTCTTCCTCACTGACCACAAGCTCCACGATTTTTCCTAAAATATTACGATTTGCAAAAGAAGATCAAGGCCCACAGCCGGCTTCGCGACTTTTTCATGCGAGTCACACCCGCGTATAGGAGCACGTGTTAGCCTCGATCCAGCTACCACTAGGCCAGCACAAAGCCTTTCCTCCACTCCTGGCCTGACCTTTGTCACCCGGCAAGAAACTCGCGAAGCCACGTTACTAGGATGACTAGTTACCGAAGACTGGCATTCCCATCTCGTCTCTCTCTTTCTTCTACGAGCTCGAACGAACTCTCTCCCTCTCTGCCTTCCCTCTTTATCTCTCTTCCCGTGTCGAGGAGGGCACGAGGATATTTTGGGAGCACTCAAAAAACCACACGAAAGCACACGGAGCTTCCTCCGCAGCGTCTCCTGGCGCTCCACGCCCCACCCTTTTCGCCCCGAGCGCACGCAAACGCTCCATTCCTCGCTCCGGCAACACACAGAATCGGGGGTTCTTCGAACGTTTGTATGTTTTTTCGTGTCTGTATTTTGTTGAATTGCAGTCCAGAGACGTCAGGATTAACTGGGAATTGAGTTGTATATTCTCCAAAAGAAATAGAAATAAAGATTGTCCACCGACCACGTGTTACCTACACTACAGTATTCCTAACGAATATGCCAGCAGATCAATTCGAAAATCTGCAACCCTCGATTCTCGTGTCTAAAATCCCCCATAATCTCCGCAAAGCGTCCCTTCCCGTTCGGGGAACCAACAATACGAAACGGACAATGAAACACATCCAATTCTGGAAAGTGCCAACGAAAAAGAAAGGGAAAGAAGTAACGCGTGCGAACAATCGGTGGCACTAACGGCGGTAGAGGGGCGGAAAAATAGCAGGGTTACCAGCTCGAACACGTGTCTGGCACGCGCACGCCGCTTCCACGGACGCCCCCGAGCGGCTGTCGAAAGAGAGGCTTGTGTTCTCGATTTCACGTTCGTAAGAGCGGCAAAGTATCGTCGGAGTAGTCTCGAAAGGGTTAACAACCCTCTTCCGACCGTATGGTCTTCGCAGAGAGACACCGCGGTCGTTTTAACGCTTGTCGGTCCGCGTGCCGTCTTTATGACCCACGTAATAGTCGCTCGTAGAGCTTCGACGAGGTTCTTGACGTTTCGCAGCGAGAGTTTCGTTTTCCGTGTGTGTATAATACGGTCGAGACATTCCGATAGTTGCAGCCTGGAAATATCCCGTTCGTCGACGTTTTATCTTCGCGATCATTCGTGCTTCGAAGTTCCAATCACCGAAGATCTTCCATCGTTTCGATTAACCCTCATGGTATCTTATAAGCTTTCCGGGTATCGTCCACAAATATTTGGAAAAATATACGATTTTTGTAGGTATCTATTTCAATCAAGATATTTCCCTTGAAAATGAAGATATTATTAAAAATGTAAAGGTATTTTTCAGAAAACCCACAGAGACGATATATCGACCCTAAGATACTAAAAGGGTCAAGCCTTTTTTTTTCTAAAATTTAAATATTCCACAGAACAAACGGGAACAGAAGTGTTAACACGGCGTCTGTTAACGCCAGCCCTGACATTTCCCGAACCGATGGCGTAAACGAGGGAACTTCTTCCGCGACGAACCCTTCGCTTCCCCAAAGGCGTGTAGACCTTGTCGGTTTCAATTACCAAACCCATAAATCGTGGCCATCCGTTTCCTCCTGCACGGAAATAGACCGAGGACAGACGAACGACGAGGGTAAACGATTCAGAGAGGTGATCGAACGATTACGTGTCGTCTCGAAACTTTTATATCTAGAGTCGAGATTTCATCGGTACGTGGACTCGAGGGCAATCGATCCTCGAGTGGAAACGTCCACGAAGGGATGGCGTCTCGTAAAAATTTCTGCCAAAAACGAAGACATACCAGTCACCGAAAAACTCCCCGAACGACATAAATAAAGCCAGCACCGCCGTGTCACGCATGACTAGCGTGAAACAAGAGCCGCCGTCTGGGAATGCAGAAAGCGCAGCTATGAATTCAAATGCAATATGGCGGGCTCGCGGCGAGCCGAAGCCCCATTCTAAGGGCGTCGCAGCTGGACGAACGGAAAATTACACGGGGCCAATGTTCAAAGTGCTCCTTTCAGTGTACAACGTGTGCCGGCTGCTGCGTGTTCGCTGTCCGATAGGTACTGAAGCGGGTTGCTATAATCGTCTGTTCCAATGGAACCGCGCGATCCTTTGACCGAAATCATTATGGACATGCGATGGACTCGTTAAGAGATTAGCCCACCCTTGGCATGAAAATCATGGGTATCTTTGTGAATTTTCTCTGGGAATACAGTAAACTTCAAAATTAAAATAAATTCAATTTACATTTTTATTTAAACATACTTATTTATATTACAGAGTTTGCAAATGATTTCCAGTTTACTTTACTGTATTCCTAGAAACAATCTACAAAAATCACTACGATTTTTAAGCAGTAAGGTTCAGAGATTCGAACCGTGGCTGGAATGGTAATCTTGCTAGCAAAGTAAATTAGTATCATA